GTGAAGTTCCATCCACACCCTGCGAAGTAGTTACACGGACATACAAACAGACAGAACTGTTATCTTTATATAGATACATACAACAGACAGTCTGTTATATTCATATAAACGCTCGTATATTTTCGTACCAAACATATTCACATTATCACACGCATACACCGTTTCATGCAATAAAAGCATTATTCGTTATAGATCTGTTAAATAGGCCTAAATAAATGTTCTTACTAGCAAATAAAACAATAATTACATGGAATTAATAATACCTCCTGGTACAACCAACCGGTATACTATGGTACAGTATGATTCGAATAAACAAACGGAGGGGGTTGTATATTGTATCATATATCTGAGGCATCGTGGCCTTTATGATTTTCATTTTCTTCGGAGTAATTGTGCTCGTGTTCTGTCACATACGTTTTAAGTTGGAAACTTTGTTCTCGACTATCATGGTGCTCTAGCATGGTTTCAGATTACGTATTTTGTCTCGAAACTTCACATGAAAGAAATCTGATCGAATTGCATGCATCATAATATCAAAAAGTGGGTTATTTTAATGGGTGATTTTTATAGGTAGACCGTTATATATTATTATAGGTAAACTGTTATATATTGTTATAGGTAAACCGTTATTTATATCCTTATTACGTACCATGAGGATTATCACGTATACGCGGTTTTAAGGGGGGGGTTATTAAAAATTGAGTAAGTCGTTGTAGATGAATAACTGTACGTGGTTTTTTTTTTAATCAAAGTTTTGTTTGTTTGTAGTTACGTACAGAGCTACACAATGGGCTATCCGTGCTGCGCTCAACACGGGTATCGAAATCCGGTTTCAGCTTTATAAACCACAACACCAACTCAATCGTTCATTTATCTTAATCAACAACACCAACTCAATCGTTCATTTATCTTAATCAACAACCCCACCTCAATCGTTCATTTATTTTAATCAACAACATCAACTCAATCGTTCATTTCTATTAATCCACAACACCAACTCAATCGTTCATTTCTATTAATCCACAACACCAACTCAATCGTTCATTTCTATTAATCAACAACACCAACTCAATCGTTCATTTCTATTAATCCACAACACCAACTCAATCATTCATTTCTATTAATCCACAACACCAACTCAATCGTTCATTTCTATTAATCAACAACACCAACTCAATCGTTCATTTCTATTAATAACAACACCAACTCAATCGTTCATTTCTATTAATCCACAACACCAACTCAATCGTTCATTTCTATTAATCAACAATACCAACTCAATCGTTCATTTCTATTAATCAACAACACCAACTCAATCGTTCATTTCTATTAATCAACAACACCAACTCAATCGTTCATTTTTATTAATCCACAACACCAACTCAATCGTTCGCTGCTCTTAATGCACAACAGCAACTTATGTTTTATTTGAGTCACTAAGGTTTTTCGAACTGTTGTTGGATGGCTGCCATCAATGCAGTGACTATTAATTTCTGAATTCATGTTGCATGCTATACATCATTACTGAGTGGTTACTGATACAGTGTACTCACCGTGAAACTACACGGAAAAATATTGTCTCTGTAGTTATACATAAAATTCAAAATAGAAAAACAAACTCGTTTTAAACGTCACTTCGTCACGCAAAGAATATAATTGCCAATGTTTCATAATTTAAGCAATACATATTGACAAGCGAAGACTAAACGTATTTTTTAAGATCTGTATTATCCACACCAAGCAAGTGCCTATTCTTCTACATTTACAACGTTTTTCAGGATTTTTTCATGTATTTGTTTCAGAAGAACGTTATTGAGTTTTGTACAAAATTAAAACTTATTGATTGCAAAGGTATTTCAAACACAGAGAAAAATGTTCACTTTTTTGCTGCTACTACAGGTTCTTCACAGTTGTAAAAAAAAAAAAATACAATACCAAGCTACACACAACACATGCCCTCCAGTGGCACAGCGGTATGTCTGCGGACTTACAACGCTAGAATCCGGGTTTCGATACCCGTGGTAGGCAGAGCACGGATGGCCCATTGTGTAGCTTTGTGCTTA